TTGAAGTGAGCTGGATTCCACGCCACGCATTCCAGCCTGGGTGGGGACCAGGGAGCAAAGGACTCTGTTCTCACTGTATTAATATCAATCGGTAGGGAGAGTTTGGACAGAACTCAATGTAGAAAAACAAGAAAGTTAGGGAGATGCATCTCAGTACCCTCATGCAAACACTACCTAGAAGAATGGAGATCCTGTTGTTGTGGTTTGTAAATTCCTGATGTGTGGTGAACACGCTGGACTTCCATTAGCAGGATGCCATTTAAACATTGTTTCATAAAACAAACTCCCCTTGCTCTAATTTCCTATTCATTAACCTATAGTCTGATTATAGTTTGCCTTCCCATCTAGATCTGTCTGTAGGGAGAACAGGTACTGGTTATGCTGACATGGACATTCCGATTCATATGGTAGTTATGGTTCTCATCGTAAATGAATGTCGTTTAGTGGCTTTCTAGTTCATACACATTAATCTCTTGTGAGCTTAATGTTACTCTGCTGCTGAAAGTACCACTCTTGAGTACCAAAAAGAAATTCCAGTTCCTAGTTTTACAAAACTGAGATCCAGACCAGGATGATGGACTAAGATGAACTCCTCGAGATAAATGTCTCTTGGCTACTAGCCCCATTTTGAAGTAGCACAACTTCAAGCAGGGTTGTACAAGTCAGATGTGGTCCGGGGAGACATATGTAGGTGGATTTAAGATGCTGTAAGTAATCAAATTCTGAGAGAGTGGAAAGGAGGAAGGTGAGGCAAGAGAGAAGTGCAGAAGATAGATTATGAAAGGGTCTGTCTTTTCTGGCAGAGGATGTTTCATTTGTTTTTAAAGTAAGTTGAATTGAAAGGAAATATCATGTATGTTTCTTTTAGTAAAATATGATTCTAGCTTAAATGATTAATTCTTAATGAGTGGATCTCCTTGTTATTTTTTTTTCAATTCAGGTTGGGTTTGTTGCTCACATAATTTTCCTGGTTTTGTTGTATTTAGCAGGCCAGTTGAAGATGATTAGGTTACAGTGTGATGACTGAAGGTGTTATAGTTAGCCATCATGGATTTGGTCCACCCTTTAGACATACAATTCTAGTGATTTTGTTATTTTATTACAAGCCCTATGATTTGCAATTTCTCTAGTAATGTAACTGTATAATCATAATGATTTAGAATTGTTTTTGCCTGGAGTGGTTCCCCTAGTCCTTGTAATCTCTTAAAAGTCCTTAGAAACCCCTTTTCATTAAGTATACAATGACAAGATGGAAAAGTACCTTCATCTTTCTCTTATCAAATTTTCATGACTCAAAAGCATTTATGTGGTATAATTGCATTTGAAAACTTAGAATTTTTCTGAAACTATATTTTGATGAGATAAAGGTGGTAACACTTATTTTTTTCCTCAGTTGAAGAAACTAGCATATTTAGCAGTTTATATTTTCTGGTGTTTTACTAATGTTCAGTGAAAGCTTGAAGTCAGTGTCTGATATCAGTTTTTACTCTCGTTCATTAGTGAGAATATGTTATTAAAATGGGAAAAGGTTCTTTTTTCTACTTATTTTTTTTTTTTTTTGGTTAGGGAATTATAATTTTGTTTGCGAAATATCTGCTCACCAGTTCCCAAACTGCCCTACGATGGAACTCTACAATTTTACCTTAGTTACTGAGTAGATTAAAGTGTTTTATTTTGGCAAAGTAAGGGGACTGATGGAATCAGATTTCTTTTCTAATCCACTGCTAGTTGGTTGAACAGATATTATAAGTATTTCTTGCCTCCACTTAATGGTAATCACCTTGTTTAATTTCTTGTCAATGCCTTAGGAAAAACATATAAGCATTGAAGAAGAGCACTTAAGGAGGACCGAAGAGGCCAGATTGCAGCTCAAGGATCAACTTCTTTGCTTGGAGACTGAACAGGAATCCATTCTTGGTGTGATAGGAAAGGAAATTGATGCAGCTTGTAAAACATTCTCCAAGGACTCAATGGAGAAATTAAAAGTAATTATGAATTCTCATTGTGCCTTATATTTTCAGTTAGTTTCCTAATATATAATTATAGTAGGATTTTAATGTATGGTAGTCAGATTATTATTATGTAAAATTCTATAAAACAAAATAACATTTTGCATTTTTTAGAACAAGGCACTGGATCTGTTGCACAGTTGTGATGAGAGAACGAATGGTGTTCTTTCATTGAATTGCCGTGTCCCACTCTGTAAAAAAAAAAAAGAAAAAAGCCTTATAAGAGAGGTATCTCTTGGATTCAAGAGGCCTGGAATTTGAGTTTTCACTATCACAGGCTATTTTTGTTGTTGTTAGTATATTACCAGCTAACATTTATTGAGTTCTCTAGTATAGGTACTGTATGTAGTATGCATGGTGCTTTAGTCTCTCCATTATCCTCTGAAACAACCCTATCTTTTAGTTACTCTGATTAAACCCACTTAAGAGAAAAGGAGGTTTGGACGGTTTAAGTAACTTGCCCTTAGCTGTACATCTGGTTAAATGCTAAACTAGGACTTCAAACCTATGGAGTCTGACGCTGGAACCTAAATTAATAACCACTATGTTATCTGCCTTCCCTATTTAAACCAACTATATTTAATGTAGTTTTTCTATTTTAACAAATGGAATACTGCTACCCAATTTAGAGTCATAGTAAAATGATGAATAAAAACAGAAGTGATCATGGATGCTCTGAATTTCTTGCAGGTAAGCACTTCTGTCAACTGTAGGTTATGCTGCCATTTTATATACAGAGAGCATTACGTTGCTTTGATATGTGTAACCATAATACGTTACAGTTTAGCATCATTTACCCCTCTATTTACTGCGTTGGGTGATATGATGGCACTCATATTTTGATATTATGCTGAAATGATTTTTACTTTTCAGAAGTTTCTACTGTTGATTTTGACATTTGTCTTTTTCTTCCTCTAGAATGACCTTCCTTTCTCATACTACTATGTTCCCCTCTTTTTTCGTACTCTTTCTGCCTTTTCTTCTATCTTAAATTGTGTTTAAAAGGAAATGTAACTGTTATTCTCTTGCAGTCAAGTCGTTTATAGAATTTGTCTTTAATGGAAATATTTTAACTAATAGAATTTGGTAGAGTTGATGGAATTTTTACAATGTGTATTCCCATTTACAGTTTTTATTTAAGTTCAAGTATTAGTTTGAAAGGACTATGAGTCTAATATGAGAAATAATTGGCTTTAGGGGGAAAACTAACTCTTTTAGAGCTATTGTAGGGCCTGTGATAATTCTGACTTATTTTTTTTCCTGTCTAATGCTGCTTTTAAATTTAAGACTTGTCATATTTGCATTTATTTAATGAATATGGAGCCTTGAAGATCATAGTTTTTATCTCAAAGAAGTGTATATTAGCAATGCAATATGTATTCTGTATTTAAATATTTGTAACAGGATGGTTTGTTTTCAATCATGTGGGAAGGTAAAATGGAAACATTTGGATCATGTTGTAAGATATATGTATATACACACACACACACATATATGCACACACATACATGTGTATATATGCACACTTTTTTATGGGCAATTGCAGGCAAATACATGATCTGCAGATAGCAGATTGCTTAAATATTTTATTTCTTTATGAGTCACAAATTATCCTTCCAAAATATTCCAAAAAGCATCCAATTTTTTATAGGCTTTCAGACATGGAGTGACTGTGGTAATGGGTTTTACACTTCTTCCCCTAGAGAAAGACGAATTTAATCCAAGTCTTGGGTGGAAAATAAATCTAAAAGAAAGGAAATTTTATTAATTTTTTAAGAGTCTACATTTTTTTCATTGTGGGCCTCTTTTCATTAGTAACTTCTGTTGTTTTATTGCTATAAACCTGTGAAAAAAATGAGTGCTCAAGAACATAGCACTCAAGAAACATACTCAAGAAACCACCCAGGGGTGTGGTAAAGATAAAATTTATTCTTTGCTTTATAGTTTATAGTTCTGACAGAGTGTGGAATAAGTATGTAAAATGTTTTCAAAAAAGAAATAATTCCATTTAGTCATTTATTGATTCCTGAAATATTGCTGATGAGATTTTCAGCCATTGTATGTAAAGAGTAGCAGTGCTATGGAATAGATTAGAACATAGATATGTAATAAATGAGTTTGAGAAAAGTCCTGGGAATGTTGATGTTATTTTTAGTTACATTTTTCATGATATCCAAGATCCAAATGATCACTATGTTACTATTTTATTTTGGTTACCTTATTCCACTTTAGTTAATGTATGTTGATTTGAACATGGGAGCGCGTCCACAAATATCACATTAGGGTTCTAATGATTGTCTATCTCACAGCACCAGTTTTGTGATTATTCAAGACTCAGCGATAAAATGTAGACCGTTAGCCTCTGTACCGCACTTATTTTAGTCCTCTCTATTGCTAAACACACTAGGTCTGAGTATTCCATATCAGCATCAGACAGGATAAATGATTTGGGCCTTTGATCCGACAGATTTATCAGATACATTGGAAGTCAATTGCAAATTACACAATATATGACCTGGATAAAAAAAAATTTATGTAAGCAACAGATACACACATACTAAAGTTCATTTCCAGATATATAAGTGGCAAAAAAACACATCATGAGATAAAAGTAAGATATAGATATGAAGTGCATACTTTAGGGTCAAACATACATTAAGACAACTTTAGTAAAAAACACAGTTCCTTATTATTAATATGGATGACTATAATGTTTATATAGAGAACAATACAATATGCTTCTCTTTCTTTATGTTTGTAATGACAAATGCCTGTTATAGTGCTTTTTTCATAGTAGACCTTGAAGCCTATTTATTGATAGTGACATCTTGATATCCAATAACAGTGGTTTATTGTGTTCTCTGTGCCAGACACTGTGCTGACACCATTTGTTAAATAGTTAAGGCTATCTTCTTCTTCTTCTTCTTTTTTTTTTTTTTGAGACGAAGTCTTGCTCTTGTCCCCCGAGACTGGAGTGCAATGGCGCGATCTCTGCTCACTGCAACCTCCGTGTCGTGGGTTCAAGCAATTTTCCTGCCTCAGCCTTCTGAGTAGCTGGGATTACAGGGTGATGACCAGTGCGTAGCTTGAACGGGCGGAACCCGTGTCTCTACTCAAAAATACAAGAAAATTAGCGGCCATGTCGGGCATAACGTCTGCTGGTCCAGCTACTTCGGGAGGCTGAGGCATGAAATGGCCTTGGAACCCGGGAGGGCAGGGTTGCGCAGTGAGCCAATGATCGCGCCACTGCACTCTGCGCCTGGGCGACAGAGCGGAACTTCAATCTCAGAAAAAAAGACCAAGACGTTGTCCTGGTCTTTAGAAAAGACAGATCATAATATGCAGATAATTTCAGTCTTAAAGTAGAGGCGGTAATAGAAGTATGCAGAAGCTTATCCCATTAGCTGAAGCTGTTCCCAGATGAATATTGAAAAAAAAACCATCCAGTTAAAGAGCAAAGAAGCAACCATGCAAAGAACAAATTTAGGAAAGCACAGAACAGAAGCATTTACGAATGCAAAGAATAGCTCAAATGATTTGGCAATTAGTAAATATGAACCATAGACATGGAGAATGGCAGGGGATGGGGGCTCGCAGAGGGATTAGGATTAGGTTCATCCGAGAGTAGAGATGTATTTGCCATTTAGAGAATCCTGAGATTCAGATTACATTGCATGGAAAAATCACATAAGGATTTGATTGAACAGGGATTTAGAGTAGCATTGCTTAGTATTTACGTATTGTTGGTATGAAGTGAAAGGTAGATTAGGTTGAAAGATTTGAGGTTTAGAGAGAACCAGTTTAAGAAGCTTAGAGTGAGAGTCTAATTGTAAGAACAATTGTTCAAGACATTTCAGCAGGAAAGGACAGACTGCGTTGATTTGTTGACAGGCCTAACCCGGAGGAGAGATGTTATTCTAGGGTGCATTTAGAGAAAGAACATTCCAGGATTTTTCTAGCTCAAAGTAGAAGACTCCAGTTCAGGGGGTGATCAGTACTGATAAGATGAAGCAGCAGTCTCCAGACAGGCAATCGTGCAGGTATTGGAAAGAGTTTCCACCAGGGGAGATGATAGTCAGAAATTTCTAGTTGGACAGAAGGCCCCAAGAGAAGCAAGGACAAAGACAGCAGATTATAGTTTTTGTTCAGATCATGGCAAGAAGTGCGAGAGATACTAAAATATGTCACATGGAGACGGTTCAGGGACAGGCATGTCATACTAGCACAGTCCAGCACTGTCTCAAGCGATGGATGTCATGCTACTATAGAGAGAACACTGTTGGAGGGTCCACATGGTTAGCGATGTGTTTTGTGACAGGAGGAGATAAAGAAAAGCTGGGTGTTAGCTGGCGTTCCACATCAGGGCAGATCCTGAGTGCATTGGTTTTCATATAAGAACACATTAATTCCTGATCCGGGGGTATTCGGTTATATCCCTTAAGAAACCAAAAAGGTGAATTTTTATACTTTTTTGATGGGTAAAGCTATACTTTTTCTTCTTGGCCTTGCCCCATTGTATTGAAATTCCCCATGTGCTTCTGTTTCCTTCAGTCTGTAAATGTTCTAGGAAGATCTGTGCGTAGCCTGTTCCTTTACTACACCTTTAGCACTTATCACAAGCCTGGCTAAATTTCAATAAATATTTTTTAAAAGAGTAGATTATATTGGCATGCTACAGGTTTCCGGCGAGGAGCGATCCGGGCAACTTAAGTAATAGGGGTGATAGAAAATAAAAAGGCAAGCACATGAGATTTGCAGTGAGATAAGGGTAATTCCTCGAGTACTGGTGTTATGTTGATCATAAGCTATAAACTGGGGACTAGATGGGGTAAGGGAAGATACGACTCCAAGAGGTTAGGGAAGAAGAGTTGTTTTATATTTGTTGTTTGAGTATTCACGCCAGAAGAGTTAACTTTTTATGAGTATTGTGTATTCTAGCACTTGTAACAAACATTATGCTTTTCCACACTGTTTAAGGGTGGATGTAGCCTTTAAAGATCATGTAGTTTGAGCTGAGCGCGTCATTTTGTAGGGGACTGAAGAAACTGAAGGGCCCAAGAGTGGTTTTTTAGGGTGTGAGGCCTAAGGACGTTAAAGGCTAGATTGAGGAGGCGTGAGGAAGGGCTGGTAGGAGGCCGTCTGGCTCAGAACTGCTGGTTCCAGGCGAGGTTTTTCTGCGCTTGTTGGTGTCAATCCGACCACGGTTGAATATAAAGCCGTAGCGATTTACCCAGCAATATTGTCGTTTTTATTGATGTTGGTTTTTTAAAACATTGTGTGAGAAAGTTATTAGCCGCAGCTGTACTTATCATTCTTGTTGATAGATGTGGATAAAGATCTGAATTAGTTTATCCTTCTGATATAGGAATGGAAAATGTTGACACTCAGTAGCTTGACTATTTTTTGGATAATACTCTTGTGAGATTATTTACGTGGAATATATTCACTTAAATTGAGCAAAGTATATGTACTGCGTGCCGTCGTGCTGGAGATTATTTGCTTTTCTTGATTATATTTATAACTTAGTTAAAAGGTGAACGAAAGATATGAAAAATTTTACATTTGATTTTTGAAGGTTGAGAACTGGCTATGACTTGGTTGTGACCTTGTCTTATCGTAAGGTTTAATTCTTGTTTAGGCGTGAGTCCCTGACCAAGTGTTCTAAAAAATTGCCACCCTCGTTATCTTCTGGTTCTGGTGGTATATCAAAGTTTTTTTCAAAATTGTTCTAGGTACGGTTTGGAACAGAAGGCGCACCAGAACTGAGAGAGGGAGCGAGCGGAAATTCTGGTTCCTAATGGAGTTACTGATGTAGCCTTTATAAGCTATAATCCTTTTTATTTAAATTTTCTGTGGTCCTTGAATTTAGGCTTTGAGGCATTCTTAGGCGTAGTGATATTGATTTAGCCCGTAGGGACGTGCAGTAAAGAGTCTCACAAGGTTAAAAAGATTCGTCGTTGGTAGTTGTTGGTTGACTAGATACTTGATGAATAGTTGTGGTCACCTAATCAGGAAGCGGAGGAAGGATAAGACTACGGAAGGATTAAAAAATGGCCAGTTACCTGGGTGTGGGTGGGCTTGACCCTGATAATCCGAGCACATTTGCGAGGGCCGGAAGGGCAGGATGGATCTGAGGTTAGGAGTTGAGGAGCCAGCCTGACCCAACAGTAGTGAAACGCACCCATGCTTACTGAAGGAGATACAAAAGTTAGCCAGGTGTGGAGCCAGAGGCTGTGGAGGCCGCAGACTGAGGATGCTGAGGCAGGAGAAGTTGCGTTGAAAGTACCTAATGAGGCAGAATGTAGTGGAGCCTAGATTTGTGCCATGTGCCACTCGCAGCCTGGCGCAGAGCGAGACGGCGGATGCGCGAGGGAGGAGAGGAAGAAAGCGAAAACAGACATATAGAAAATGTCGGATTCTCTATGCTTGGGTTGGTATTGTAGCATGAGTACTTGGGTGGGAGAGTAGGAAGAGAGATGATCCGGTTATGTAATCTGTTCGAAGAAACTCCCGTGAAGTGAGTTAATAGAGCATGGTTTTGCTCGTGTGATTAATGAGCCTGTCAGCTGAAGGTATTAGTTGGCGATTGTTAAATTATTCTATTATAGTGTTCCAAGCTGCTCCTCAGATATTAAGTGCAGATGTTGGATTTATCACACCACACAGATCTCATAGATTGGCATTATTTGGGACTGATGCTAAAGATTGTCCATAGTGTTGATGTCTTTAGTTGGTTAGGATAATAATATGATTCTTACAATACAGATTCATTTTCATAAAAAATTCCGAACTATAGTTTATCGTATGTTTATTTTGTAAATAAATGAATACATACATAAAGAGGCATGTAAATGAATGCTGGTTTGGAACTGGTTGAGTATTTGGGGCAAACATTTTTCTTTTCAAATCCTTAATTTGGGGGACTATACTTTTGGATGCTGTGGTGAAGAATTTCATTTATATATTTGTGTCAGAGAAAAATGTATTTCTGATAGACTCTTTTCTCTTTTGTAGGTCTTTTCATCTGGTCCTGATATACATTATGACCCACATCGCTGGTTAGCAGAAAGCAAGGTAATTGATCTTTGAATCCTAAAGTTATTGTAATATTTATGATCTTTAAGCCATCCTATTTGGTTTAGCCATTTATTTTGTCATGTAACTGAACATGTGAAGCTATAATACTTAATTGCAGGGGAAGAAATCCCTCCAGTCCGTTTAGGGAATCTCTATGTTTTTTATTTTAACATTTAAAAGTTAAATATGTAGGCCTAGAATGAGAGAATAAAGGAAAGTAAAACTGTTGAAATATTAAGAACCAGATTATAGATATATGTGAACATTGACAAAGGAACACAGAAGAAGGAAGAACTAATTCTGTTGTTTGTGCTGGGAGAAAGGTATGGTATGATGCTACCAGCATGTCATAGGCGGCTTCTGGAAAAAAGCTATATTTAAACTTGGCCTTACAAAAATATGTAGTTCTCAAGTTAGTTAGTTATGGATAGAACAGTGACATGAAGATGAGAATATTTGAGTAACCACAGATAATGCCCTGAGATTGGTGAGTAAGACATGGGTGGGAGGTGATGGAAAGATGAGGTTTACCTTTGAAGATCAACTATGCATTAGGGAAGCCTCCTAAAACAAAGCATTCTTAACAAGAAAATGAAAGTATAGTGATTGAACATTGAACTTTAACAATGAACCTGTGCATTTCTAGCCATTTTTGATAGAAACAAATACAAATTTATATTTATGCCACTTGAATTAGGGAATTTAGAATGTTTTGCTGCCTCAGAATGTTTTGGCCAGAAACTTCTGTTGTGCATTAATATTGCATTTCTCAGTTTTCTTTTTCTCAGCTTCACAATTCTGACAACAAGAGCAATGTACTTGGAATTTTCTTTCAAGTTAAAGTCTTTATCATTTCTGAACAGAAAGCTTTCACTGCTGTAGTTCAGTTAAATTATGAGAGTCAGAGATGACTCTTAATCATAGCTCTTTAATTTGGGAGCTAGTGAGCAGTTTTCCCTTATCTTTTAATGGGATTGAACTTCTGATCAGACCAGTTCTAATACTGCATGAGACAACAGTTCCTTCTACAGTGTAAATGGGTTGTGATAAAAAATACCACACTGACCAACTGACTAAGGGGGAATTGAATCTATTTACTAGAAAGATGGCTTAAGTTATTGATGGGCTACAATACTGTAATTCCCATGAACTACGACTGGACAGCTCTATAAGTATTGAAGATAAGATCTAAGTCAGAGGACAAAATACTATATGGAAAGCAGAATTGCTCTTCAGATAGTCCATTCTGACATCTTGCAGTATTAGAAGGACCTCTGAGGGCATTCAGTAATTGTTTTCATAAATCTGCCAAGTGAATTTGTTCTGTTAGTATTAATTCTAGAAAACAAGGATTGGGTGGGGTTTGCATCACAGTTGCTTTGTTGGCAGTGGTGGCATAATAAAAATATGAAGTCCAATTGAGAGTTGGACTATACTTACAGGTAAAATAGCTAATGAATGGTAATAATAAGAAATTACAGGAAGGAAGAGGGTTGAGATGGTCTGTATTAGTCAGGGTTCTCTAGAGGGATGGAACTAATGGAATAGATCTCTTTATAAAGGGGAGTTTATTAAGTATTTACTCACACGATCACAAGGTCCCACAATAGGCCATCTGCAGGCTGAGGAGCAAGGACAGCCAGTCCAAGTTACAAAACTGAAAAACCTGGAGTCCAGTGTTCAAGGGCAGGAACCATCCAGCATGGGAGAAAAATGTAGGCTGGGAGGCTGGACCAGTCTCTCTTTTCGTATTTTTCTGCCTGCTTATATTTTAGCCATGCTGGTAGCTGATTAGATTGTGCCCACTCAGATTAGGGTGGGTCTGTCTTTCCCAGCCCATCCACTCAAATGTTAATCTCCTTTGGCAACACCCTCACAGACACACCCAGGCTCTATACTTTGTATCCTTCAGTCTAATCATTTTGGCACTCAGTATTAACCATCACATGGTCATTAAGGAATGCCAGGTAAGCAGTTTCCATAGATTAGGGGTATGTTTTTGTAATAAGTTCTAACAAGGTATGGTAAGGCCATGTTTTCTTCAGCTTAATGGAATTTACTGAGAAACTACTATGTCTCAGAGGCTGTTACATGCTGTGAGCATAAAAAAAATGAACAAGGCACAGTGACTCACGCCTGTAATTCCAGCACTTTGGGAGGCCAAGGTGAGGGGATCACGAGGTCAGGAGATTGAGACCATCCTAGCTTACACGGGGAACCCCTGTCTCTACTAAAAATACAAAAAATTAGCTGGCCATGGTGGCATGCGTCTGCGGTCCCAGCTACTCGGGAGGCTGAGGCAGGTGAATTGCTTGAACCCGGGAGGCAGAGGTTGCAGTGAGCCAAGATCGCGCCACTGCACTCTGGCCTGGGCGACAGAGCGAGACTTCATCTCAGAAAAAAACCAAGACGTTGTCCTGGTCTTTAGAAAAGACAGACATATATGCAGATAATTTCAGTCTTATAAGTAAGAGCTGTAATAGAAGTATGCAGAAGCTACCACAGAGGCTGATGTCCCAGATGAATATTGAAACCATCCAGGTAAAGAGCAAAGAGCAACCATGCAAAGAACAAAGTTCTAGGAAAGGCACAGAACAGAAGCAATTTGATGAATGCAAAGAAAGCTCAAATGATTTGGCAATAGTAAAATATGAACATATGACATGGAGAATGGCAGGGGATGGGGCTCCAGAGGGATTAGGATTAGGTTCATCCAGTAGAGCATTATTTGCCATTTTGAGAATCCTGGATTCAGATCTACATTGCATGGAGAATCACAAAGGAGTTTTGAACAGGATAGAGTAGCATTGCTTATATTTATATTTTGGTAGTGAAGTGAAAGGTAGATTAGAGTTGGAAAGATTTGAGGTAGAGAGACCAGTTAAGAAGCTTAGAGTGAGAGTCTGAATTAAGAAAATTGTTCAGACATTCAGAGGAAAGGACAGACTGGAGTGATTTTGTTGACAGCATACCCGTGATGAGAGATGTTTTATTCTAGGGTGATAGAGAAAGAAATTTCCAGGATTTTCTAGCCAAAGTAGAAGACTCCAGTCAGGGGTTAGTATCTGAATAAATGAACATGCAGTCTCCCAGACAGGCAAATTCGTGGCAGTATTGAAAGAGTTTCCACCAGGGAGACTGATAGTCAGAAATTTCTAGTTGGACAGGAAGGCCCCAAGAGAAGCAAGGACAAAGACACAGATTATAGTTTTTGTTCATATCATGGCAAGAAGTGAGAAGTACTAAAGATATTCACATGGAGACGGTAGGGACAGCATGTCATATCTAGCACAGGCCAGCACTCTCAAGATGGATTCACCTACTAGAGAGAATCACTGTTGAGTCCACATGTTACATTATTGTTTTGTGACAGAGAATAAAGAAAAGCTGGTGTTAGCTGTGCTTCCACATCAGGCAGGATCCTGAGTGCATTGGTGTTCATATAAGAACACATTTAATTCCTGGATCCGGTATTTATTCCCTTAAGAAACAAAAAGGTGAATTTTTATACTTTTTTGATGGTGTAAAGCTATACTTTTTCTTCTTGGCCTTTGCCCCATTGTATTGAAATTCCCCATTTGCTTCTGTTTCTTCAGTCTGTAAATGTTACTAGGGAAGATCTGTGCTTATCCTGTTCCTTACTACACCTTTAGCACTTATCACAATGCCTGGCTAAATGTTCAATAAATATTTTTTAAAAGAGTAATTATATTGGGCATGCTACATTTTCCCAGTTGAGGCACTTCCTCAACTTAAATATTATAGAAAAATAAATAACAAGCACATGAGATTTCAGTGAATATATTAATTCCTCAGTACTGGTGTTATTTGATCATAGCTATAAACTCGGGATTAGATGGGTAAGAAATACACTTCCAAATTTAGGGAGAAGATTTTTTTATATTGTGTTGTTTGATATCACGCCAAAGAGTTATACTTTTTATAGTATTGTGTATTCTAGGCATTAACAAACATTTGCTTTTCCACACTGTTTAAGTGATGTAGCTTTAAAGATCATGTAGTTTGACTACCTCATTTTGTAGACTGAAGAAACTGAGGCCCAAGATGTTTTTAGTTTTACCTAAGGACGTAAAGCTAATTAGTTACTGAGAAGGGCTTAGACCTCTGGCCTCAGAACTCTGTTCCATCATTTTTCTGCCTTGGTTGTGTAATCCACACTTGAATATAAACCTTACATTTACAAATATTGTCTTTTTATTGATGTGGATTTTTTAAAACATTGTGTGAGAAGTATTAGGCCCAGTGTACTTAATTCTTGTTGATAGATGTGGATAAATATCTAATAGTTTATCCTTCTGATATAGAATGGAAAATGTTACACTCAGTAGCTTGACTGATTTGTTGGAAATACTCTTTAGATTATTTACGTGGAATATATTCACTTAATTGAGCAATAGTATATGTACTGCTGTGGAGATTATTTTGCTTTTTTCTTGATTATATTTATAACTTAGTTAAAAGGTGAAGAAAGTATTACTGAAAAAATTACATATTTTTAGGTTGACTTGTATTGACTTGTTGACTCTTGCATTTCTAATTTAATTCTTGTTTAGGTGGCTGACCACGTTCTAAAAAATTGCCACCCTCTTTATCTCTGGTTCTTATACAAATGTTTTCTTTCAAAATTGTTTCTAGAGGTTTGGGAAAAGAAGCACAGAAATTAAAGGAGCAAAATTCTGGTTCCTAATATTACTGTTACCTTTATAAGCTATAATCTTTTTATTTAAATTTTCTGTGGTCCTTGATTTTTAGCTTTGAGTCATTTCTTAGTGCCTTTAGTATATTATTACCCTAGGACTCAGTAGAAGAGTCTCACAAATTAAAAAGATCGTCTTGGTAGTTTTACTAGATACTTATGAATATTTTCACCTAATCAGAAGCTATCAACTAAACTACGAAGGATTAAAAAAATGCCATTACCTGGGTGTGGTGGCTTACACCTATAATCCCAGCACTTTGCGAGGCCGAGGTGGGCA